GCTGCCAGGTCAAGGGCTCAAATTGTGATTGACCACATAGGAGTCCCCTAGCACCTCAACCACTGTACCACCTGTCAAGCCCCCCTTTGGTATTATTTTTAAGAATTATTTATTTGATTTTATTTATCATCATCATTATTATTTTAATTTGCTACAGGACAAGTGCACTCACCAGAGAGAGACAAAGGGAAAGTGAGAAAGCAAGCCATCAGATCTGGGACTTGAACCACAGTTTGTCCTGTGAGTGTCCAGTACCTTAACCACCACAACACTTGCTGGCACCCATTTAATTTTTTTAAAGAATTATTTATTTAATTCTGTTTGTCATTATTATTATTTTTTTTTTATTTGACCAGAGACAGAAAGAGAAAGGGGAAGCAAGCCACCAGAGCCAGTACTCGAACTGTGGTCAACCATGTGGGTATCCAGTGCCTATAATCAACACACCACCTGCCGGCCCCACCCTACATTTTGATTTTTTTTTAAGCTTGTTTATTTTTTCCATTAAGAGAGAGCCTCGGGAACCAGCAGTTAGTGTAATGGCTATATCGCTGGACTCCCACGGAGTCGACCGTGGTTCACGTCCCAGACCCGGTGGCTTAAAACTCATGCCAGGCGCGTATGCGTGCATGCCCAAGATCCCGAGAGGATAATGGAGAAGGGATTGCGGCGTGACCATCCCCCCTGGGGGGTGATTTCTTGCTTTCTGTCTCTATGTCTCTCTCCGTCTGGTGAGCGTACGCGCCCTATGGCGAAAAACCTCTCCAAAAAAAAAAAAAAGAAGAAGAAGAGAGAACCTCACCAGCAGGATCCTTACTCTTTAACCCATGCTCATCTTCAGTCAGCCCCTGATCATGGGCACTTACATGTTCCATGTACTCACGCAAACTCAAAACCTTCCCATGTTGAGCAGCCTTGTTCATGTTTTACTGCTGTGCCACAGTCTGGCCCCCTACAGTAAGTAGTAGTATACTGTTTAATGAATAAGAATAATTGTAGGTAATGTTTGGAGGATTTCTATGTATGTATATATACCCATAACCATATTTTATCTTTTTATTAGAAGTTGTTAGGGATGGTAAGCTTGGTTAGACAGACATAGGTCAGACAACTACCCTGGAGCACAAAATAAAATTTAAGGGGGGACTATAGGACCATCTGTATTGTGACATTCATTTAATACAAAATAACTCCCTAAAGCATGAGACCTACAAGAAACAGGAGTGAAAAAAAAAGCTATTATAAAATATTAACAGGCCAGGGGACCAGCAGGTGGTGTGGTGGCTAAGGTGCTGGATACTCCCACATGGCCAACCATGGTTCAAGTCCTGGACCTGGCGGCTTACCTTCTCACTTTCCCTCTCTCTCTCTCTCTTTGTGTCTCTCTCTGGTCAAATTAAAATAAATCAATAAATAAAATTAAATAATTTAAAAAATATCAACAGGTCAAAAGAAGTCCAAGGGCACAAATTTTAGTTGAACAAAGCTGTTGATGTGGTCAGTCATGTGGGAGTCCAACAACTTAACCACCTGCTGGTCCTGTGGTGCATCTTTTCTTTTTTTTTTTTTTATTATTTTATTTAACTTTATTTATTGGAGAGGTTTTTGCTGTAGGGAGTGTGTGCTCACCAGAAAGACAGAAAGTGAGAAATCACCCCCCCCACCGCCAGGGTGGATGGCCATGTCGCAATCCCTTCTCCTCCATTCTCCTCTCGGTATCTTGGGCACACGCACATGCGCCTGGCATGAGTTTAAGCCACCGGGTCCAGGACTCGAACTGCAATTGACCACAGTAGCCATTTTGCTAACTGCTGCCCCCCCTGTGGTGCATTTTTTTTTTTTTGGAGAGGTTTTGGCTATAGGGCGCATGCGCTCACCAGAGCGACAGAGAGAGACAGGGAGACAGAAAGCAAGAAAGCACCTCCCAGTGGAGATGGCCACGCCGCAATCCCTTCCCCTCCATTCTCCTCTCGGAATCTTGGGCACGCATGCACACGCGCCCAGCATGAGTTTAAGTCACTGGGTCTGGGACTCGAACCGCTGTCGACTACGTGGGAGTCCAGCGACATAGCCATTACACTAACTGCTGGTCCCCCCCTGTGGTGCATTTTAAAACACCAGTAGCAGGCCAGCAGGTGGCAGCATGGTGGTTAAGGCACTGGATCTCACATGGCAGACTCTGCTGTTTGAGTCCTGGACCCAACAGCTTGAAAATTATGCCATAGGCATGCATGCCCAACATTCTGAGAGGAGAATGGAAAAGAGGGGACTGAGGCATATAGGCCCCCCTTGAGGGGTGATTGATCATTTTCCCTCTGTCTGTCTGTCTCTCTCCAGTGAGCACTCATGCCCTATATGGTGGTGGTGGTGGTGGTGGGGTTGGGGGTGAGAAAATGCCAATACTAGGCTGGCCTGTGGCCTGCTGGTTAAGGGAACCAGATTCCACATGGCCAACTGCATAGTAGGCCCCAGCCGCTTGAAAAACACACTGGATGTGTGTATGCATGTCCAAAGTCCCAACAAGGTAGAGAAATGGAGAAGGGATTGTGGCATGACTATGCACCATGGGGGATTGCTTTCTCCCTCTTTCTGCCTCATAGGAGGGTATGTGCCCTCTGGCAAAATTTTAAGTTAAATAAAATACCAGTATCAGGTACCAGACCAATAAGATCAGAATCCCTGAGGACTGGACATATGTGTACAAAATGCTGTTATACAAACATTTAATCCTATATGCTGTTTTACTTTAGGGAATTAGTAGCTTAAAAGTTTTCCAAGTGATTCTAATATGCACTGAGGGTTAATTGAAACTCACTGGTATGGGGCTGGCAAGTGTGTAGTGGTGGTTAAGGTACTGGACTCCCACATGGCTGACAGTGGTTCAAGTCCTGGTCCTGTTGGTTTGTTTTCTCACTCCCCACTTCTCTGGTCAAATTTAATAATAATAATAATAATAATAATAATAACAAAATTAAATAATTATTTTTTAAAAAGAAAGTCACTGGTATAGCAAAATGGTTAATAGCATTTAATAAATATTTAATTTAAAAGAATTATTTATTTATTTTATTCTATTTGTTAATTATCATTTTTAATTTGACCAGAGAGAGACAGAGAAAAGGAAGGCAAGAAAGCAAGCCGCCAGGTCTCGGACCCAAACCATGGTCAGTTATATGGGAAGCCAGCCCCTTTAACCACCATGCCACTTGCTGGGCCCCAAATATTTATTTTATTATTTTTTTAAATTATTTTATTTGGGACCAGCAGGTAGGTGGCAGGGTGGTTAAGGTGTTGGACACTCCCAG